AAGGCTCCAAAAACAACCTCAAAGCTACGTATTTATCATTCGCCAAGAACTTTTTCAGAAGTAAGTTAAAAGCAGTGTCCCGAAGATTTTGCACTTCCACCTTTTTGCATGTTTTTCGACCAGCGCATCCCGTAACTGAGCTTTGAAACGGGTGAAAGGACCTTTTTGGGGTAGTTTACAAAATCTCCAAAAGGTAGCTCGGACGAAAATTTCAAGGGAAAGTTGGGAGGCCCTGGCATGAAGACCCTGCTGCCTGCAATTTTTGCTTTGGATAGCATGCACAATGCGGGTGAGCGGTCGTGGTCCCGCGCCGAAGGGTAAGCGAAGTCGTCCGAGCGCGCGCCGGTTGGCGTTGCGCGCGGAGGTTCAAGAGCTATTTTCTCGGCCCAGGGGGAAATCACCAGCCGGACTGCGCCTAGAGTTTAGTGGGATGACCAGGAATCCCACCATGCAATATCCCCCAGGGCGCGAATCTGCCGGGACACTGCCTATAATGGGGTGCCACACCCCACTGACTGTGACAGGAAAACATCTTATGCAAACAATACCTGTATATATCGAAAGCCTAGATCTCATAGTTTTCACAGCAATGATTTAAGTCTGAAACGTCTACTTTGCATTGAGTAATAGTTGGTGAAAGCCATTAAGAGCAGAAAATGGGACAAACACGATTTTAGCTTGCTTTTAATATTCCACAGAATGAAGGTCTTCTAAAGCGGGATTCCTGACGCGGGCAAAGAAGGAGTAGTACTTTGTATATGGTGCAAGGTAGCTAATTCACCTTTAAAACAATGTTAATCATGTTCAAAAATGACCATGTCACTCAGGTGGCCCTTTGGAAACTTCAGGAGTCGCTCAAACTTGGTCCACAGGGTTAACTGACCTACTAATTATGGACTCGTTATGCTTGGCGGGACCCTTGTGTGATGCGTCTTACAAGGGGATACTCGATCGCAGTGACGATTGGGTAAGTGGTGTATACCATCCCCAAACGGTGGTCTCTAAATCGCATTCCATACCTGCTATGACGTCATTCCGGAAGAGCTATAAAGGATGTTTGGTGCCAGGCGCACTCAAGTACCAGACTTGTCTCGTCGCTGTTGTGGTCGACTGGTGCAGTGAATGGGTTGGGCTGCTGAGCTGGATGTTGTGAGTTCGAATCCCCTCGGATGCCTCCGGTTTTGCGTTTTTGAAGAATCCTTCATAGCTCTTCCAGAATGACGTCGTAGCAGATATGGAGTGCGGTTTGGAGATCACCGTCTAGGGACGGTATATGCTGTATACACCCCTTAACCAATCGACACTACGATCGAGTATCCTTCCTTTGTTAGGTATCTGGGTTTGAAAAATTGATTGCGCAATTTGCACCAGTGTTTATCAAAGCACTTCATTCAAGAAGCAATTTCTGTCTAATACACTCATGCTCGACACTGCTTTACTTGAGCGCTAAAAAGATGATAACAAGTGATTTTGCCCAGATTCTGCGTTCATTTTTCGCTCCAAAAACCCCTCATAACTAGGCGTCCAAAAGCGCTTGGCAGATAATGAAAACAGATTTGAAATCAGCGTTCAAGGCCCTTCAAAGCAATATAGGACTCAACTGAAAGCGACACTTCCACTAAGCGGACCTCACTTCTTAAGTGTACATTTGCCACCTTCATATCAGGTCCTGCCTGTGACACCAAGTGCAAAATTAAAATCGGCCTTTTTTTCACCCTGAAATTGCCCGCTTTTTATATTAGGTTGATTCATAATTAGTGCACGTTTTCTATACTTCAACTTTCAACCGAGATAATTCTTTTTTGAGAAGACATTTCTGGGCGCAGTAAAAACTGCTGTAATCAACAAATCAGTGGCTATAAAACAGATACTTTTGCGTGACTGTATATCTATCATAAGAAAGATTTTCTGGCTTGAAGATTGTCAACAACTTTTTTCAGAATCCTCTACTTTGAGAGAGCCTAACTTATCTTATATATAAAGCTGAATGTCTGTTTGTCTGTCTGTCTGTATGTCTGTCTGTCTGTCTGTCTGTATGTCTGTCACCCCCGTGAGGGTGATCAGCATGCTCGATTACACCCCTCTTCCAAATTCCAGCCCCCTAGCTCAAATTTTGCAAAAAATCGATAAAATCGATAAAAGTAATGCACGGTTTCGAAAACTAATATTGTATTCGTAATCAGCATGCTCGATTACACCCCTCTGCCAACTCCCAGCCCCATAGCTCAAATTTTGCAAAAAATCGATAAAATCGACATCGATCGATAACGAAAAGTGGACTGTGACACCCGCCGGGGCCCGAAGGGTATGTGTGCCAAGTTTAGTCCGGATCGGTTAAGAAATGGAATTTTCTATTCGGAACATACGGCGGAGCCGTATGTTCCGAATAGAAAATGTGTGTTGAAATAAAGTAGGATAAAGCAGACTTTGCTCGTCGTGTAGCCGAGAGTCTCTTGAGCGGCAATGCCAAGCTTGGATTTTACGGAAAATTTTTGAAAGAAAATATCGCGAAAAAGTCGAAAGTACTCACTTTTTTCTGGCATCTCGGCGGGTTAATAGGTCATTTTTGAAATTATTTCATTTTTTCCGCTGAAAAGTGAGAAAACCCTAGCGCTTTTCTACCATCAAATGGACTAGGTCTACCCTTGCTGGATAGTGCAAAAACCTGCAATCGCCTTTTGCTCCAAAGTTTTATATGGCACGGAAGGGCCGCGACGATCATTCAAGTTCGCAATCGAATTTCTCGGCTCAGAATTCATGGAGAATTTTGTTCAAATAGCATCTTGTAGCACAAAGTTTCGTAATCATTATGATTTTTTTTTGAAATTAATCCGGGTATTCCTCATGGATTTAGGTCAAAAAGAGTGAAAAGCAAAAAATTTGTGATTTAGTCTCTTTTATTTGAAAACTCAGAAATTTTAAAGGAACGGGGATGTACGAAAGCGAAGGCCCGCGTAAGAAACTAAAAAATGCTCTTTTAGATAGCGTAAAAAGTTTTTAGGGGAATTGACTATACATCCAATACCAGCTCTTGGAAGAAGGGGTGAGGAAAACGTGCATCAATTATGAATCAACCTAATATTTCTTTGAAGTCTTCTCTTTGTGCAGGCCAAATTCTTCAATACTGCAATGAGCCAAATTTTTCAATACTGCATATTGTTAAGATGACGTCTTCCACTAATCTCGCCATGGCAAACCGCACAGAATCGATGGCAGCTGCGCAAACAGAGGCAAGTTTGGCAGCCATCCTTGTGCGCGCACCACAAAACTCGAGCGCAGATGCGGTTTGCAAACGGTTTGCAAACAAACAAACGGCCCTCACGTTCAGTACTTCTAACAAGGGAACGATCCCAACTTAAGGTGGCGAACTGGAATGAACCGCATATCATTAGATGCGTCTTGATGAGCTGATTGCAAAACTACCTTCCATATCTGCGACAACGTTATCTGGAAGAAGTTATGAAAGGTTAAAAACGTAAAGTAACGGGGCTTTTAGTGCATAATTCGCTTCAAAATCCAACTTGGGAGTGTATGACTAGCATGATATTGAGTGTATTGATTTCGAGGAATGCTCACACTCTAAAATAACACAAATAAGTGTTTTTGAACAACTATTTTTCAAGGTATTGCTATGTATATTTCCCAAATTTGGACTTTTCATTGCTCATAGCTTTTACCAAAGAACTTTAGTTGCTTTTTAGCTGTTCAAAAACATTTATTTGCGTTTCTTTTGAATGTGAGCATTCCGTGAAATCAGTACACTCAATATGATGCTAGTCGTGCACTTCCAAGTTTGATTTTAAAGCAAATTATGCATCAAAACCCCCGTTACTTCACATTTTTAACCTTTCATAACTTCTTCCAGGTAACGTTGTCGCAGATATGGAAGGTAGATTTGGAATCAGCTCATCAAGACGCATCTAATCTCAGGGACTCGCGCCGTGCGGGCGACCAGCGACGACCTTACAATCGCTCGTCGGTGTGTGCGATTGTACGGTCGTCAAGGGCCGTTGACACGGTTAACGTGGGGCGCCCGCACGGTCTCTAATGTTCGCCGCTTGCGCGGAGGAAGTCGGCCGCTCGCTTGCTCTTGGAGTAGATGTATTTGCGATATCTTGACCATTTTTCTTGGATAGATCAATCCTTTACACATTTTGGGAACACGGATCGATGCTTGCAGCATTGCCAAACTTCTCATGGAAAAGCCCTCACCATCACTCTTGATAGCTGTAGCGTCACATAGGTTCATTCCAGCCTTGCTGTTAAAAGAAAATGTTGATAACACAATGTGTCAACGCTTAGCCAGCTCAAACACTGCGCCGTATCTCACACAGGTACCGTTTACGCTCACAGTGTGTGAAAATAGTGAGAGAAAATCGAGGTCACTGTTGGCCGCTTGCACGGCAACATGTATTGCAGACCGATAAGACGGACGCATTGCTGGCCGCTCGCTCGAACAACTGTATTGCATGCCGTTTGCACGGTAACATTGCCTGCCGCTAGGACGGCGCTTCAGCTGTTTGCCGCACGCACGGAGGCTTTAGGCTTATGTCGACAGCTTGTACGCTAGCCCTTATAGGAGGACCGCTCGCACGGCGCGAATCCCTGAGATGGTATGCGGTTTATTCCAATTCGCCACCTTAAGTTTGGATCGTTCCCTTGTAAGATCTGGACAAATTTCTTACAATGTGAATTTCCTCCGAGAAGAAAAACTGAAATTTGGCATGTATTAAAAGCATGCTTTGACATCCTATATATTATAAGTGGCATTGTGCCTGGGCTTTCTCCTACAAAAACATGCAAAAAATTCCTTATCATAGTCTAACCGGGTGCGAAAAGGGTCAGAATTGACCCGAAACTTCCTATCAACATGATATTCGCCTCTACTTTTATTGAGATCAAAATTAGAAAGAACAGTCTATGTCATGTCCGCTTTCACCACGGGATTATATTGGAGTCTACTGGTTTTTTCGAATCTTCAGTATCATATCGCAACATACCTGATACACGCCACCTCTATCACCCTTTTGTTTATCTCCTTGTCGGTCACTGCGACCCGGGAACCACTGACCAGGACCAGCGTAACCAGCTCTTCCAGTGCGAGGCTCCAGTATCTGAATCAATTTTCAGTTTGGAAAATCTTCATCTATAGCTATTACTTGTTCGTTATTATCGGCTAATTGCTGGAGCTTGTCGGTAAGATTCAAAGCAATCATTTGTAGTCGCGAAGGTTCAACTCGATGCATCATAAGGCAGTCCGTGGGCTCATCAAGAGTGGCAGATAGTTCTTCTTGAATGATCATTTTGCTGCAAAATCATTTTCGATTTGCTTTCGAGGGCGAACCGAGGACGAGCTGCAGATGAGTCTAGAGGCTTACCTGATTACGCTGTGGACCTGCTTCTTGTCAAGTTCAAACAAAGTTGCAAGCTTCTCAAGAGACACTGTTGTGTACACAGTAGAGTACATGAGCAAATATGTTCTGAAGCAAAAACATAATAGCTTTATCACACCGTCAAACAGAAAACAAAGTTTGCCTCAAAGATTCTTCTTGTATTCGTTTAACTACCATTTCTTTCACACTTTCTGCGTTTCGGAATAGATTCCATACCTGTTGATACACTTCATTCATGAATATTATGGATAGCATCCCCACATTGACTATTCAAACCTAACAAACCCTACCTTTTGATTCATCTTATCATTTACTATATAGTCTCTACATTTCTTCCAGTCACCTGCAAGCATAGCCCTCGATGCAGCTACTACATGCTCGCGTGTATTCTCAGGCGGTCCAATGAGAGAAGACTGTAAGTTGATATATGATTGGGGTAACAAAAAGCAAACACGAACTCTTACAGAAAGCATATCACAAACACAACATGATGATACAGACGAAGACACGGACACCACCTACCTTTTCGCTCTGCTTCAATTGATAATGGAAGCTCCGACTCAAGAGTCTTCGTCGCATTTCAAACTCACAACTAGCCATATGGGGGATTTCAAGAAGCATAGAACAGATAAGATAGACGCACTCCATCAACTCGACGTTGATATGCATATGATAAGGAACTTGTCGCTGTCTTTCTTGCTTTTCCTGAACTGATATTCCACCTACCCAGACAGATGCGAAATTAAAACATTAGCGTATCATGCAAAGCATCGCATTACGCAAATCTGCACCTGCTCAGCTGTCCTTTCATGCTGCCTCATCGCAACGGCTTGCGCTAACAGTTCCTTAGCTCGCTGGGTATTCTGGATCTCTGACAGCCCCTGATGCGCCTCCTTGATAAACCCATGACGGAAAGCACAAAGACCAAGCTGACATATAGTGCGATTGTATAAGATCTGAAAATAAAAAAGAGTAGTAAAATACAATAGCACTGCGCCTACATACCTGAGTATCAGTATCAGAGTGATCAACGATTGCCTGGAGATGACTCATCAACATCAGATCTCTAGCACGATGCCACTCATCATGCAAAGCGAGCCAGTAAACATGACAAAGCATTGCTCTTTGTCTCAATCTCTTCTCTTCGTCAAGGGCGTATATTTTCTTGCAAAGACGATCCATGATCTCCCCAACAGCTTCATCTCCTTCATAGTTGTCTTGATACTAAATGATTAAGGCAAAAGGGATGTGTCTAGAAAAATGCAACAATAGCCAAAGTTATAGATGTGATTCCGAAGACGGCATCAGTTGGATGGGTAAAGATGAGCTTGACGATCAGCGTGTCAGGCAAACTCACCCAACCTAACAAAACCATAGATAAAGCGTTACATAGCGTTTGTATAAACAAACTACATGCGGTGAACAAAGCTCAGCGAGGGCAATTAGGTTACTTCTCCTTGAAAAATGTATGACAACGACCCAGATTACAGCTATCAAGATCGTAAGGCTCACCTTATAATAAAGGTGCTCAATTCTCATCATGTAGATTTTGCAGACTTCGTCAACGTCAAAAATATCCTCGGCTATTCTTTCTTGGACGTACTTTTCGGTGCGTTCAATTAGTATACACATGTCCTTTTCACCTTTCAGCCTAGAATGAAAGAAATCCTCATCAAAGTTCACCCTGATGTAGCAAGTGATATAAAGTCAGAATCTAACTTTTCGATGTAATCGTTTGAGTGACAATCAGCGTTTTGAAGGATTTTGGTCAATTCACTGTCGAGGCGTTGCACCATCATCAAATACGAACCTTGGATTTTGTAGTCCACACTTTCGTCCTAATATATCAAAGGTTCAAGCCTAAATCGAATTTTTGAAGTTTTGAAAAGCCTTGCTTTTAGATTCTCCTCCTCTTCGGTAAATTTGACAGACAGCTTTACTTCTGGATGTGCTATCAAGATATCAAGAAGTTCGGTTATAGCCAACATAGTCCTGAATTCCAATTCATTGATAAATGCATTTACACATGAAAAGTACCAAGTTTAACCAAAAAATAAAGTACTTACTTCTGGAAGTTACCGAACTCCATGTAATCACTGATTTTTGTATTTAGCTCAAAAAGCGAAGAGATGATGTTAAAGAGAATCTTCACTGAGATTCCAACACCAAGCTTCTTCTTAAAAACCATCAAGCAGAAATATATGAAGAGAAACCGATTCATACACTAAGCTGATGTACTTACCTCCTCTGCAATTTTATATAATTCTTGTAGGAGACGCACGTGCTGTTTTCTATTAGTTCCCAGTCGCCCTCGCGAAGCCATTACTTCAGTGAGCTTGTTAATCATCGCCTAAACAACAAGACACAAAGTTGTAAATTTTCTTTCATAATTTTCAAGAACTAAATCCAAGTAAAACTGAATAGGAATTCAAATGACCAAGAATCGAACACTTCATTTGTGTGCGGTACAAGTGATAACCAATGCATACTTCGTGAGTGACTTCTTGTTTGGGTTCAAACAATTGCACTTGTTTTTCCTTGGTGATAGCAGTCCATTCGCCACCATCATCGTCTTCGTCATCGACCAAATCAAGAGCGGCCTAAAACTCTGTTTAATTTTATATATATTGCCCACAAAAAGTTACAGAGTATCGCAATCAGGATGAGGCCGAACCGTTGGCGTGAATTTGCGCGCACGCAGCGCTAGAAATTGCGCTGCATATGCGCAATGTCGGAAAGAGCGAAGGGGTTGAAGATAGCAGGCGAGAAGGCCTAAGCGTGATGCAAAACCCTAGGGACGCGGTTCACGCCTGCCACTTTTGTCCTGGTTGGGATTGGGATAGGTGAGCCTGACAGTCATCGTTTGGCTATCCGTTTGGCATCAGCTTCAAATAGATTGATGTTCTGTAACTTATATCGCGACAAGTCAAATGGAGGCAACTCTGCAACAAAAATAAAAATCCTAAGCTGGGATTTTCAGCAGGTAGGTCGCAAATCCTATCCAGTGAAAAACTAAGAGGAGACAGATGTGCATAATCACGCCAGCATTCTATCTGTTGTACAAAGTCACCTTTGGTTTGTGATGTTCCCTCTGTTTTCGTTTCTTCTCCTTCTTTTTATCAGCGGCTGCATCATCTTCTCCACGGAACTCCTTCCTGGAAACCAATTACTTAGAAGGCGCTGAAATCGGTTTCAGATAAAATGATGCACTACTTCAAGAAATGTCTTCTCAATGCCTCCATTTTCGAGCCAAAATCAGCGTCGTCATCTGAGGCGCTAGAGTCCGTATCTGTCGACCAATCCGAATCACTCTGTGCAAAATATACATACAAAACAGCAAAAATATGATTATATAGATATAAACCTCGCTTTCGCTCGAAGAAAGATCTTTCTTCTTTTCTTTAATTGCTGGCATTTGCGCTTCACCACCCTCTTCACCTGATTCTTCTTGCTGTATAAGAAATTTTCATTGTTAGGCAAGATTCCTGGAATCAAAACAAACCTCTTCTTCTTCTTCAGGAGTCTCATACCCCGGCGGATCTGGGCTTTCCCTGTACTCCGCAATTTTCTGTTCAAATTCTTTCACATACTTGCGCACCTTTTGACGTAGATTTGTGAGGGCTTTCAGATTCACTTTCGATAGAGCCTGCAAACTCATATGTTCAAGCAAAAGAGCTTCCTCTTTTCTTGTAAAGGTGCAGGACATATCTTGGCGAAAAACTAAATGCTGCTCACCCATTCACAGCATATAAACAAAGCGCAAGTGGTTACACAAAAACTAGTTTACGCCCAGTAGCAAATGAAAGCGATGTAGAAGAAAGCGATTCTCCATGCTTCAGTTGTTTCGATATAGAATTTGGAGGATATACACTGTCGTTCAAATATGTGCCCCCTCTGATAATACACCTGTATTTTCGTTTGTGGTCAGAAATTGTAGATCTTATGCCTGAATTCAAACTCGACAGTATGTCAAAATAGCTTACAATTCAAAGCACACAGAAAGAGATTCCAGGAAAAAAATACAAAATGGAAGGAATCAGGTTGGTCAAATGCAGTAGCCTGCTCCACATTGTCTATACGAACAGTTCTTAACATTGATGCTATTCTTGCATCCCTAAGCTCAGGGATGCCACTTACAGTTTAACCAAAGAGAAAGACTTTCGACCGAATGACAGACGAACGGCTGAAAAAAGCGAACAAACTACTAGATCATCGGCAATTACTTGGTTCATTTGTGCCTCTATGTGTGAACCCCAAAGTAATTCATTTAAGCAGTGAAAACTGCACAAAACCGATATGTGGACTCACTTTTTGATAAGCGAAAAGAGCTTTTTCTTAAATGGCCCTGACTCCATCAACATTTAAGGTTGGCCGCACTTTGCCAGCAACTGCTGCCAATGTTCCCGGTATTGAAATCTCGCAAGTGCCGTTCGCCGGTTGGCATTTGCCAATGTACGACAAACTAATGGAATTACAGATCAAAAGCAAAATAACGTGACGTAATATGCAACCTTCTATGACAATGTCAGCAAACGCCTTCAACCTAGAAACACCTATGAAAATGGCAACGACATTGGTCAACGCTGTCAACGCCTGTGACAGGTGCTGCCAACCAGAGACGGTCTGGGGAGAGGTTAACAAAACCGTCGAAAAAATTATTTGGAAGGCTTCCCGAGATTAGAAGCCCTGAAATTTTGGGGAAAAATGTCGGTGTTGTAGCCGCTCCCCCCTCTTGTCTCCACTGCCGCCATTAGAATGAACCTTATACGCCCTGAAGCTAAGAAAAAAGAACACTTAAAAAGAAATGGTACAAGGATGAATAGTACCTACACTTTTCGCTTCCTTATTGTCCCAGAAACCGAGCACGAAGTCCTCTAAGTCAACGAGATACCTGATTACGGAACTTTGAAACATAGCATTTACATGTTCTATACTTCTTCTGCCACCTAATTGTAAACAGTGATACCTTAACTTTTATAACCAACCTGACATAAAAACGAGGGGTGGAGATATTTTGCCGAGCAAATACAGTCCTCGATTTTTCGTAAATTTTCACAAGCTCATCAAAAGCTGAAAGCGCGGAATTTCAATTACTCCAAAACCATCTTTGATAGTGACCCACCTGACAAAATTTTCGTGAAATCTTTGTTATTTTTGGCATTGTTCACTTGCTTGATGAAATCTTTGAGCTCCTTGAATTTCTTCTCCTTGTGAGTACGCACTACACGCTTCTCTTCATCTTCGCTATCACTTGGGTACGCGAAGTCCCGAGCACTAATATTGATTTTCAGGATCAGGAATGAGGATCAGTGCCTTCGTCCAGATATTAAGCTTACCACTTATAATCAGAACACTTCTAGTAGTTGAGTACTTGTAATAAAGTACTACACTGTCTAAAACAAGCACTTGCGCAAGGTGCAAATCATAAAATGACAGGGAGTAAAAAAAGCTGAATAACAAATTCAGCTATTTCGGTTGCTAATTTGGGCTCGGCTGCCAAAGAAAATGTAGCAGCGCATTCTTCTTCTGTTGGGTGTTCCATGTTATATGCATATAGGAAATACAGCTGGAGTCATCATGCATGTCTATCTCCGCTATGCAGTGACGACCCAGGATTCCGTTCTGGGGGGGGGGGGGAGCAAAGTCTCCCCAGATGGAGGTGGTGCAGGAGGAACCAAAGCCCTTGCCGCCTGTATCCAAAGGGGAATGGGTAAGGCAGAGGAGGCTCCGCCCATCGCTCCGCCCACAAGATGCTCCCATTGTGTGTTGAGCAAGAATGGTGGATGGACTACCAGATATTGATCAAATCTGATGGATTAAGAGGTTAAACTATGAACTGGAACTTGAAAAATGGACAGTAAAGATTCTCAAACAGGTTTTCAGGTACCGGATAATAATAAAAATAGTATCATGTCATAAACCTAACACATATATAGAGTAACCATCTTTTTAAGAGTCAATATATGGAACACCACTACCATTAAATTGTTTTTAAATTTTGTTCAGAATCGAAATGATGATACAAAGCCTAGAAAATGACCAGAAAGAAGATTGATTCAAAGCAGGGGGACATAATCCGAAAATGAAGTTTCAGAGTGGTTCTAATAATAACTTTAACAAAGAGACTAAGAAATCTTCTGGATACTCAGATCCAAGAATGACGTAAAATGCAAATACAAACATCATATGCCTTGAGAGGAGGCTCAGTAAAGCTTCACAGCTCAGATTTGAAGTGCGAACCAAACCTGGACAATTTTACCCCGCTGGCAGTTGTCGAGGCATAGGATTAGAGAAGTAGGACAATATCAAATGGGGCGAAACCAATGTAAACTACTATCCTACTATAATAACGCGCTAAGGCCGTCTGTTTTTTTGTGTGTCTGTGTGAAAATCTGTCTGTCACGAAATTCATAGAGGAAGCTGCAACTAAGCTATCGGGCTGAAATTTTGCATAGCATACCGTGCCAGCGTGTAGGCCCACCATGCACAAGGACGAGCCGGTTCGATAAGCGGGTCCCTCAAAATTTGCGCGTCAAACGGGTCCACGTGCCTTTTGGCACGCAAAACTGGGCCGCTAATTCGACTTTTTGCAAAGTTGTGATTTGCTTGACAAGTAACTCTGCGCGCCATGAATTCTAGCCCAAAAATGCTCAAAAAGTTTGCTTTTTTTGCGAAAACAGCGCCAAAAAGTGATGAACGCGTAGATAGTCGCTTTGGCAAGGTTTTACTTGAAAAAACTGAAAAGATTTTTGCACCGAAATGTAGCCCTAGGTGACTGTTATCCTTATGACGATCATCAAACTAGAATAAATCCAGTAATCCTTTCAAATTCGCATTTGTTTCCTTGCAACAAAGTTTTTTTTCCTAAAAATTACCGATCTTACATGCAGATGCTTCATGAATGAACATTTGTTTACGATTAGTTTGTGATGCTCAGCATCGCGTGGTAAGTTTCAAAGCCATTCTCATGCGAACATGAGAAAGGCATACGGATAGGGAGCCAGTGCGAACCTCCGCGAAGCGGAGGTGACGAACTGGTAACTGTTATAACAGACAAGTTTTGGTGACTTTATCTGCTTTTTTCAACTTTCTGCCCGATTCTAATTTTGCAACTCGAAAATTTTTGATGAATAATTTGGCATCTACTTTCGCAAGTTCACCTTTTTGAAACAATTTTGCAACTCGAAAATTTTTGATGAATAATTTGTCATCTACTTTCGCAAGTTCACCTCTTGAAGCATGACTTTTTAACGGCTTTCTCGCGAGTTTTTCTCACCCTTTCCCTCCCCTTTCCCCCTCCCCAAGTAAAATACTTTGGAGTTAACAAAGAATAAAGTACTTGAATTATGACTTTCTTGGCTCATCAGACGACTGGCTTGATCCTGCAAAGGTCAAATAATCGGCTATCGATTGGCTCAAATGCAACTAACGCAGTGACTATCGTAAAAGAATGAGAAAATTAGCCCAGGAAAATAAATTGCAATATAGAGTAAGTTTTCCGCGAAGCCATTTATAGGAGTTCAGAAAAATTTCCGAAGCTTTTACCCCTCTAAAAAATTTTTCATCAGTTCCAATCTTTAAAAGAATGATGAATTGCATTGATGTGAATTCATACAAAAGTTCATTCAAAAGATTCGCCTTTCAAAACTAGCCACAAATTTGTTTTTCCCTTCTCTGTATCTCCACTCCAAGTCTTTTAAATTAGACTTTTCCTTCTGCGAATTCCTGAGCAAAAAAGGCAAAACCCAGGCTCAGCGCGCGGGGCGGAGCTTGGAGGGTTGCCAGATCCTTCTTGGCATGCAGCCAGCTCCTCCCCTTCCTCTCTTGGATACAGGGGTCAAGAGCTCTGGTTCCTCCTGCACCGCCGCCCCCAGATAAGGGTGCGTGCTGTCAGCCACAACATTCCGCAAAAATTCTGGGATACTGCGGCAGCCACACCCCCGAAGAAACACTTGCACATTTTTATAACTCACTTTCAAAGACTTCTCGACTCATTCTCGGGGGGGGGGGGGAAGGGAGAGAGACCAATCTCGAACAAATGGGTTCGTCAAAACGAAGTTCGAATCTCCTTCCATTAAAACAATTATAGCGCGCTGTCGGATCGGACTTTCGCGCATCGGTGTCATCTAGTCTGTTCCTATGTTAAAACACTGACGACCGCTTGACATACATGGTGTGTCAAGGTATGAATTTTATAGGATGACGATTATCCTGGGACAAACTCACTTCTAGAGTTCTCTCGCTGGATCAAGGAGTAACCTTCGTCTAACTTGTCACCCTCACAGAGCTAGTGTAAATTTACTGTAGATGGTAGTATGCTTGATTAGATCTAAGGAAATGTTGGCTGATCCGTGAAATGCCCTGGCCCCAAGGGCAGACATCTCGAAATTTGCATGGTCGTCGATGTATCAAAGGCACCGTCCACCCAAATCCTCTACTTCCATGTTTCTATCGTTCCGGAGCCTTCTCATGTCCTTGATTCCGAATATGAAGCCGAAAATCCGCGAAAACCCCAACAATCCCCGTTTTGGAGACCACTTCCGGCCGACTTCCCGGAAGGGTGATTGGCGAGGCGAGCAGCGACATTTCGCGCCGCGACTTGGGCATTGGCTTGATAGGGGGCCCTACGATCATATGCTGCCAAAAGCTCAAGACCCTCAGCTTAGGGCGTACGGTGCCTTTGGCACCCGCCATACTTGATCCTCTTGATCCGCTTAATCCACTTGATCCGCTTCGTGCAAAACGCGCGCACTCAGTAGTCTGTCATTTGGCGTCGCGTACAGCGAATTGCTTAACCATAAGAAATTCCTTTTTACCTTTAAGATCAAAATAATATTTTCGTGAGTATACACGTATCTATATGTACACATGACTGCGCAAAGCGCACCCCATGCCCCAATGCGTTTTCCGGCGCGCAGGATATTCATTGTTGGGGCACGCTAGACATTGTGGGCTTGACTCTGCGTATGATAAACGTAATTTTTATGCTCTCCATAGTGTTTTCAGATTGTCTTCCACATATTCTTGTTTTCAGAGTTAAGGTGAGGTAAAATTCCATGCTCAATTTGGTGCAAATGTTGGACTCTAACGAAAACAGAAGAGGAATGGTTTCCTTTTGTCTAACCAGAGATCTTATATTCTACATGTTTGGGACTTGCATTGCAACGTTTTCAAAAGTTCCTGACCGGGGAAGTCTGATTCGAGACATTTTGAAGGATACCTATGCTTCATGGTATCGCTATTTAGCAGTGCTTGCTCCTTCCAAGCATGAATAGGCCTGAAATGGTTGGCCATGATAGGGCATTATCAAAGCAAAAAATAACAAGATACGAAGCATAGCAATGCATGCTTACAACCTGAATTTCGATTCGAACAGCTAGATCGATGATTAAGAAGCACAATAAAAAATCCTTCTAATTCTGCAAGCGATTTGTGAATACCTTTCCCAGAATCCGAAAATAGCAGTTGTCAGACGGTTTTTGTTGGTCTATTGTTCCTGATATAATTGATCAACTGTTTGCAAGCATCTTATCGTTACCACAACTAGTTGTGGAATTGTATGCATTGCTTTGTTTGGCATAAACGTTGTGAAAATACCTACTTAGGCCCCGGGCAGACTTCACGCGATTTGATCGTCGCGACTGAGTCGCGACGAGACAACTGTTACAACATCATTCCATGCCGATCAACTTGCATTCGGTTGTGATACTTTTCCAGCCCGAAATTTTTGAATGTGAAATAAAAATGAATGGAAATCTTGGCGATTAGATCGCGACGATTAAGTCGCGTGAAGTCTGACCGGGGCCTTACGCATTTGATTAGACAGCAGATTCACCACAAGTTAACCCTACATCTCAAGGCACACATCATGTTGAACAGCAATTCCTTGAAATCGGATGAGAATACTTCTATGATTTTCTTTTACAAATGGTGTTTGTTTTACAGGGGCTTTCAATCTGAGTGTCTTGGTCGACATGGTTCAGGTATGATCGTCTCCACGATTCGTGTAGAGGCGGGTCACGGACTTTGCCTAATCTTAAAGATGAATTTGTTGAACCTCCACGTCATAGCATCGTTTTTCGTACTCCCTCACTATCATAAACCTCCAGCATTGAGTTGGCAAAACCCCGCCTCTATACGAATCGTGGAGTCGATGATACTCGCGAGCCGCATCGCTCGGGTGTCTCACGTGGTGCAATAGCGCATCCGCTAAGGCCTTCGCGATATCGGATGCGGTATGGTACCACGTGAAAGACCCAAGCGAGGAGGCTCGCGAGTACCTGAACCACGGCGATCGCGACACTCACATTGAATGCCCCTGTAATGCGGTGGTAGAACAAACTGACTCACACAACAATGTCCCATCAAGCGGTCTTTAGTTGTAGGTACTAAGACGAAAGATTGATGAAAAAGGACCTACTGCTCTCCTTTGTTGCAAATCAAGGTTTACACGAAAGTAACACCAAGGATTTAGATCTTACACTGACGGTTTGTTTTGCTTATCTGATGCACATTCAAGGACATTTGTCTTACTGTTCATCAGTCTATCGAAGGGACTAACAAAAACTTTACAATGTTTTTGCCTTCGGATGAATTTACAGAAGCAAAAGCAGAACAAACGTATTAGTTGATCTGCAACCAAATCATTCCAAAATCATCAAGAAATTCTTTCTGTGCAACATACTTCACTGGATTGTGGCATGAATCTTGGGAAAACACCAATACCTTTTTCACCGCCGCAATGGTTACCAAGTTCACTGTGTCCAGCGTGCTCCACGAGCGTAAAGCACGCAGCTAATTTTGCATTGGGCCATGGGAAGCGCTTTGTGCACCGATGTGTAGATTTAGGTACAAGCTCCTGCAAGACGAAGGCGGTGGGTTCGATGTGCAACGCAGCTGCGACACGGTTCGTCACAGTCACGTTGCACATCACACCGACCGCCTTCATCTTGCAGGAGCTTATAGGTCGTAATAATGGATAGGTGAGGTCCGTAGAGCATCAAGATAAGCTCCTTTCATAGCCTCTCACCTCGCCGACTGTCACATTGCATATACATGAAGGAGCTGACTTTTGAGCACTAACTTATAAAAAAGAAAACAGCAAATTCCGTGAACACGTTCACTGAAACGGGTTTGGGCCCGCATACCGGCATAGCCTTATTCCTAGCCATTTACCACTGATGGAGATATGCATGATTTTCAGCGCGGAGAGTGATAAGTGATAAGCATTACAAGGTCCTCAAAAATTGACAGGAAGGACTTACAGTGGAGCTTTTTTGGTCTGCACCTCCTCCTCGATATCCGAAACTTCCGACTCAGAAGATGACTCGGAACTAACTGCTCCTTTGAAGAACTTTGACATTCTGTCCGAAACTGCAAAGCTGTAAACTACCACGAGCAAAGTCTTGCCTGAAGAAATATTTGTTAGATGCAAATCAAGGATAAGGAATAACAGATGGCAGAATTCAAACAGAAACAGAATCACTAGGCAGATGGCAGGCCCTATGATGTAAAGAAATATAATGCCCGTCGACAGACAAAAACCGCGGAATAGGTAGCAATTTTTACCTTTGCCACTACCGCAACATAAACGTCAGAAAAACAACACGCGCAGCCTCAGAATTAACGGGATCGGCCATACTAATCCTGCTATTCCTACGACTCCTGCGATTCCTGTGAGTCCCGCACAGTTTATACGCCGCTTAAATGAGCGCGTGTTGCGTAAAACAACACGTAACACGCAACACGCGCTCATTTAAGCGGCGTATAAACTGTGCGGGACTCACAGGAATCGCAGGAGTCGTAGGAATAGCAGGAATAGTATGGCCGATCCCAACGACTTCATCGAAAGTCATGAGAGGCACTCTCGAAACTCGGGCGACGAATCCGGAACTTGACCGCAACCACACACCAAACGCTCAGAATTACGCCTGAAAATCGAATTTTATTCCTCTCATCGGGGAACACGCGGAAAGCTACAAATGCCCTGGGACAGGCGCGGCTAAGGCTTTGATTACATACCTCGCTGCTGACATCATGCGTCAGAAATGCCTTCTTGGTGTAAATACAATGTTAACTACTTACCACACACTTGTAATTAATATCTTTTCAACTCCTACTTCCCCCTCCTCCCTCTGGAGTTCGGAAATGATTTAAGGAAATTTTGCTGAAACTAAATAATTCCAAATATTGCTACTCATACTGAAATCTTATGGCACGGGGGTAATTTATCATGCTCATTCCGAAAATGGTCCTCATTTTGCTTGATAGCCGTTCATCGTGTAACTGCAGCAGTTTACCGGTACGAAGCCAAGACCACAAAATTGCCTAGAAATTTGTTTGATGAAGTTGTATACATGCTGTAAGAAATAGTATCTATTTCATGATTTTTTTCTGTAGTTACGAGTAGCAGAAATGTCAGAATGGATGATTCTCCATAGCTAAGTTTGGAGTTATTTGATGTGCTAAGTGGTGGTGTAGGTCAGAGTTAGAGAGGCTGCCTTTCCGGAATACTCATGTAATTACCGTAAAGTCTCTAGACTGCCTATGCCAATTACTTTTATCACTTCTGACATTCATAGGGCTTTCGATGCCATCGTAGGGTCTTCAAGCGCGTAAAAGGTAATGTCTAAGATGTTTGGCAAATGTTTTTAAACTGATCTATCCCATTGAAGGTATTTTTAAGACCTGAAAACTCGAAAGAGCAAGTTCTACCAGTTTACACAATATGTGCACGCACTCAGATAATCGCCGGGGGCAGGCGGTCCGCAAACTCGCGCTTTTCTGCAAGCGGTCGGCAGAATTTTGTGGCGTGGCCAAACCTTCAGCGAGCGGCACTTCCTTTGCTGTCGCATGTTCTGCCAGCGGGCAGCAACCCAGGATTTTCTGCAGGCGCTCGGCAAATAATCTCTTTCGGCGAGCGCTGGTCAAATTTTAGCTGGCGCTCGGACGGTTTATAAGCGGTTTCGGGCGTACGCCGAGCAAAGGTGAGACTCTACATAGCAGAGGTGTCATCGATGGTTTAATTACTCAAGTTTGAGGTACTTTCTCTCAGCGGAAAGTACCTGAGGGCTGCGCGGTCCTTCACAAAGGACCGTGCGGCCCTCGAAAATTTTGCATATTTCCGCGGACTTTCCGCGAGAATGCGGCCGCTGCGCCGCAGCTAATCTATAAGGAAACCGCGTTTGTCCTCCGAGCGTTCGTCCAAAATTTCGCTAAAATTCTTCCAAATATCTGCAAGCGGACCGCAGAAAATCAGCGAACTATTTTTCCGGTTCCCGCCCGCCCATAAGTCGCATGGCCGCCTGCCCCCGGCGATTATCTGAGCAGTCTCGAGTCACCCAGTCAAGGATAGGTATATGCAAAATGGACATCATTTTTTCAATGAGCATGCAAAACACCCTTAACACGTTTCGGACCGGTGCTGCACATGGTGCAGCACGCTGCTTTGAAGGTTCTTTCTGACGTTCGCAGGAGGTTTTCTTTAAGTCCGAAGTTATTGAGTCAAAGGTCCAAGCTCTTACTTTTCAAATGACTCTGTAGAGCTGTGCTGCCGATATTTGTTTACGAGATATAAGGACAAATCGAACAACAGTTGCAACGAAGTGCGGCAACGCGAACGACAACTTTTCTTTGCTCCGATTTCAAAGTAATAAACCGTAGTTTCAATAGCGACGAGTACAGTCAGGGCCCGGCACGAGGTGGGCAGACGGGGTTTTCCAGAACGAATTTCCCTTTCCCAACAGTTTTACGAATACCCCCTTGAGCCCAAAAATGACGCTTTGTGCTTGTGGAAGGAGAGCACCGGCCACACTTCGCCTAAAAGCGCTCAAAACCGCCCAAAATGCTCAAATTCCTCTAATTACTCCTCACCTGTATCAAGATAGAAAACATGAAGAAGGATAAGCAAGGAAAATGATAAAGGAATGAAAAAATATTAAAGGAACGCAGTCATAGGGCTGAAAGACGCCGTTCCCGCGCGTATCGATTGACTGGGGCGCGCTTTCCATCTTAGAAAGCTAGGCTGCTGATGCGATTTTGGGCTCTAACAAAGACAAGAGGAGGAGTTTCGGAATCAGAATCTCACCATATAGTAAACTTTAGGTGAACAACAGATTTATGTAAAAATTTTGAAAAAAATTATGTGAATTGAAAGTTTTGCCCACCTCAGGTGGGCATTAGTGCGGTGCCTAATTGAGGCGTGCGTTCCTCCACCCGTTCCTCAGTCCTACTGCGCGTATACACACCAAGTCTCGCGCGATTTCGTTTTCTCTGCGCTGCAAACGAGCCATTTTTCCACTTTTTTGATAGTGGGAAATTTTCAGAACAAAGCTTGCCACAACCTTCCATTCATATAGTTTTTCAATGAAACTTCTAAGATAAGCCCTGCAGGCCCGTGTTCATGTACCTACCAAGTTTCATACCGTATGGTCATCTGTGCGCTGCAAACGAGCCATTTGAATTCATATCTTCATTTACCAGTTTTGCGAATTTTTTGGAAAAAATGCTTATTGCACCTATTCACATAAGTTTTTCAAAACATTTCATGCTTTCTTTCTACTAGCCTCTCTTTGTTCGCTTACGTAATTTGATGCTATATCATTACGCCTGCATTGAGAACTGATCATGTAATCATGCTGTTCAACGGCATCGCTCATGCGACGTCGCGCACGCGGCAATTAGCAGCAACGCGGCGTAGTCGAGCGAAGTCTGCTGTGCGTTGAGGTTTATGAAAACTATTTTCCGATGAATTAGATGTATGAGGTAAGCGATTCGACCTTCTTTTGCTTGCACATGGACTGCTTCCGGGGCTCCGCCTGGGATCCCGCAAAAACGATATCCCCTTTGCTTTTTGGCTCCAAAACGATTTCCAGCTTGTCATTTGCCCACCTCGTGCCGGGCCCTGAGTACAGTGTACAGCATAGATACTTTAGATACTATTTGAAACTGAGTTCTTGCTTCTAACTTTCAAGCACAAAAGTCCCTCTCAAGCGACAAAATTCAAACGCTTCGAATTCACCCATAACTTCGGCTAACGGCCGAAAGTGCGCTCTTTTTTGCCGCGCGCGATTTCGCGGTCCGAAACGTGTTAACAGATCATAAGCAGTCCTGTTTCAGTACCCTGGCAGCTGCTGCACTTACACGATGAACGGCTATCAAGCGAAATGAGGATCATTTTCGGAATCAGCTGATAAATTACCCCCGTGCCATAAGATTCCAGTATGAGTAGCAATATTTGGAATTATTTAGTTTTAACAAAATTTTCTTTAATCATTTCCGAACTCCAGAGAGAGGAGGAGGAAGTAGTTGAAAAAATATTAATTACAGGTGTGAGGTAAGTAGTTAACATTGTATTTACACCAAGAACGCGTTTCTGACGCATGATGTCAATTGGGTGCCGTGTCGAGGTCTATACGACAGTTGCTGCTTAGGTATGGACGCCAGCGAGCAGGGAAGGCAACGCTGCTTCGACTGATCAGAGCAGTCAGCTGCTTCTTGAGTGCATGTTGATTGCTAAAACCATCCAGAATAACTGCGCTATCGTCAAGTATTATTATGTTAAAAAGAAGAAAATTAGCTTTTTGAATTGGATCTAGAGTCATATTCTACTTTTACAAGGAGTTCTTCATTTTCCATTTTTCACTGTTGCATTTGTAGGAGAAGGTAGCCTTGTCCGAGCAAGCTTAAAGGCAGTTTTTCGTCCTCTGTTGTTGAAACCTCGGCATAATTCAAACTGTGCCAGTATAATGTAGGTAGCACGAGGTTTGGGTGAAGCTATTTATTCCATCAGTGGCCTAACGCGTTTCGACTACTCGTCGTCGTCGGAGGCCTAAAGTGGTGCGGGATTAGTGATCTTATGTCTGCCCCACCAAGTGCTTCGTCAACCCTCGGTTAGCTTCTCGATCCCCTCTCGGGTTTTACAAGCAAAAGTCGCTAGATGGGAGAAGACGAACACACCTTTGCTTCACCGCCGGTCACTTGGTGATATAGTGCGACCGCTTCCTTAGTGACAGTAGTGCCAATAAGCCACATTTAGCGGCTCATTGTGGATGTAATCATCGCACTACTCTATCATAGCTCACACAGTGATAAAAATGGCATGAAGTCATTCGTAGCGGCTAAGCACTCGCTTCTGTTGTTCATAAGCGTTTTTTGCGTGTGATCCAAAACGCTTCGAGAGCTCTCCGCGCCGACGTATCTTTTTCGTGAGCCAAAATTGTACATTTGATTTCGTAGTCTTGATCGGGGTGGTATTCATGTTTATGTTTGCCGAGCGGCGAATAGACTACCTCTTCGTTTATTGGCAAGGTGTTCTTTAACTCGCCAAGTGGTCTTCCGGTTTCTCCTATATAGCTGGCACCACAAACTAAGCATTCTATCTGATTTATTACACCTGTTTTCGCGCAATCACCAATGCTGCTATGTGGACAAACTACGCACTCTTTTGCAGTATTTTGAGCTCGGCTTTTCCGATTTTGTCCGGAGTGTGTCGGTCGAGACGCCTGATTTTGTCGCGCACTTTTGACCCGAATCAGGTCTCCTGATTTTGTCTCGACACCGTTTTCTGCAGTCGCGCAGGCATTGGCTACACCTCGTTTTGTCCTGCGGGAGTCAATAGTGAATGTCTGAGGCGCCAGGTATGTATCAAGCCTAATGGTCACGCTCTGTCCGAGTTCTCTATCAACTTTCGTCCTTCAAATCTCGTACTAAAGCGCGTCTACACGCTTTCTCATGCTTCTTTTCTTGTGTTATCCATTTTTGTCTCTGTTCGTATCTATCCTTTTCAAGTTTTATATCTTTCACATTGTGTAAACATATTTTCTTACAGGGGTATAAGATGTATTATTGATGCGGGAGTTCCTTGTGTAGTTGCACGTGTAAGCGACGCAAGAGATATCGTCAACTGACTCATCAAAGTATGGCCTTTTTTTGTGTTCTGTGCTTTTCTACTTTTTCATTTAATTTGCTTATTTAGTCAATATCACTTTATAAATGTTCTCCCCTTATTCATAGCTAGCATTTTATGTCTCATCAGATTGTTTGCGCGACTTATTCATTTGATTCTAGATGAGATATGCGCAAAAGATCTTGCTTTCAACTTCGTGAGCCATAGCTGTGAACTTACAAAAAGGTAGGGGCTCCCATTCACTCCTTTTCTGCTTCAAGTTCGCAAATTGTTTCTTGACATTGAAGGATGGATGTCACGCATAAGTGCATTCGAACAGAGGCGAGCTCAAGAGCCATTAATGTGAGCATTCTGTATACTCTGCTACCACTCGAGTTATTAGTGCCAAATGCTGCATAAATTCAAATTTTGTGCATTCATACGGTTTTTTATTATCGTTATCCTAAAGGTCGATTCTTGTCTTTTCTCAAAAAAATAGTAAGACTTAACATGAGATCAGTCACTTGTAAGCGGTAATTCTGAATATATAATGGTCCCTCGTAGATACGTCGTTGATAATGACTATGTGGAACAAATAGAATTTATATATTTATTTATTGAGTGCATCCATTGATGCGCCAAAGGAACGTGGTTATAAAAGAAGAAAACATCAAATAACACAATGACAGGATAAAATTATATGCATAGCCAGTGGTCTTATGCTATGAGTTTCAGGTAACACTTTGAGTCAAATATGGCACCTTTTCGAGGTATGTGTGCATTTATAAAAAGCGGAAAACTTCCGCTCTCCCAGAGCCATGGTGTGTAAGTCTTGAACTTAATCACTTACAAGCGAATCTAAAGAGGAAAACACCAAAGCGAATGGGCGAAACCCTGTGTGCTTGGCGGGCAACCTCTCTTAGTTTTCTCTTACATCACTACCATGGATGAAGATATCGTCGAATCATTTGTAACTTAATATGCCTAGTGCACATTATACATGCTAACTGACGAAACACATTTCCAGCGATTTCTCCTTGTTTCCTTGTTTCTTTTGTTTTAATTGATTATATGTTAGACAGTAAAACACATTTCTACATTTTGTTAGGCTAGAAAATGTTGGGAACTTACTAGTATGGGTGCCGTTGCTAAGGCTCAGTGTGCAATCTCACATATTAAGTTACAAATGACTCGATATATCATTTGAAGTGAAACAACTTGCTGTGTATCATGGTGTGAGAGCCTTAAGCTTATCACTACCTCCTTTGTGGAGGACCGCACAGTCCTCAGGTACTTTCCGCTGAAAGAAAGTACCTCAAACTTGAGCAATTAAACCATCGATGACACCTGCCACATAGAGTCTCACATTTGCTCGACACCTGAAACTGCTCAAAAAGAGTCCGAGCGCCTGCTGAAAGTTTGGCCAACGCTCGTCTGAAAAAGATTATTTGACGAGCGCCCGCAGAAAACTCTGTATCCTGCCCCGCTAGCGGGACATTCAACAGTAAAGGAGGTACCGCCCGCTGAAGGTTTGGTCACGCCCCAAAATTCTGCTAACCGCCTGCACGAAAACCGAGTTTGCGGACCGCATGCGCTTCGCGATTATCTGAGAAGCGAATGGGCTAATCCATGCGTGCTCGGCGGGCAAATGAGCAGTCTCAGCTTCCTCTTACATCGCTACCGTGATATATAGATATATAGAGCGTCAATATAAAATGGATAATATTAGGTTGATGCATGATTCCTGCACCAAAATGTACAGACCGCAATAATCCGCAATAATCCTATATCCCTAACAGGATTCGATATATTACTAGAAAGAGCAAACCTAGCTCTATAAGATAGTGCTTAAAGATTTGCAGCAGCTTTGATCCAAGCGAAGATTGTAGCCAAAAACGAAAAAGATTGAAGCGCCCCAAAAAATCAAGAAAAAATTGGAAGTCCGTTCAGAAAAATCCTTTAATATTCCTAACATGCTCTTGCATTGTCATTTCGTATAAGACATCTCTCTATGTAGTTGCTGTATTTTTCTCTCAGCTAGAAATTGAGAAAACGAAGTTTTTCATGTTTTTTCCAAAACAATGCTGAGATGTTCTAGCACTGACAGTTGTATACTATAGGACCTTGGAAACGTGAATGTAAATTTTCAGCTCTTTACAGCAGCTGGTTTATGAGAAATATCGAATTCTTATCAACTAGGCAAAAAAATTCGGATAAGGAGAGCTAGATTCGTCATTACTCGTGACTAGCTGTTCTAGAAGGCTGAAAATGTAAAGTTTCACTGCTAACAGCATGTACTATACAAATGTTAGTGCTAGAACTCTCAACACTAATTTGGCAGAAACATGGAAAACGTCGTTTTCTCATCGTCTAGCTGAGAAAAAAAAATAAAGCAACCGCATAGATAAATGTCTTACGTGGAATGTCTACGCGTGAGCAAGAAAGAAATCTTATAGGAGCTTTTTGAACGAAGTTACAATTTTGTTTTGATTGATCTTAAGGTTTTCGAACGCATCTAATATATAAAGCTGAATGTCTGTTTGTATGTATGTCTGTATGTACAGTGACCGCCAAAAAGTTGTGGACAAGGCTCCCTCCCCTGTTCACCGCTCTTATTCAGAGGGAAAACAAGAATGAAAAAAGGTAATAATTGCATGAGGTGATAGAGCTTTTCAAGATCTACAATACACACTTTGAGCTTTTTGAGAAACATGTATTCTAAAAATTTTAAGAATCTTTTTCTTAAAAAGGTCCGAAAATGGCCGCGTCACAATGTCGCGGACAATAATTCTTCGAACGCAAAAATTTTCTCTTGAGTCCTATTTTAAAGCTGAAACACAAGTTATCCGAACGGGTAAGCATACTACTATACAGAGCTTGTCAAGAACTACACATTGTTATGGTTGCTTCCCCAAAAAACGCAAGCTTGAGTTTTATTTTGCTTCTTTCAAAACATAACTTCTAATTTCCTTTATCAAGCCAAATTTCTTCACTCGAAAACCTGTTCAAGACATCCCAACAAAGCTGTCTGGATAAAACGGATGCTCTTTGCCATCCTCTATGCATCGGACGTGTGCTGATGAGTTTCTTGGCTGAAAATGGCCCTTGGCAGTGCTTGCACATGACCCCAGCCGCACCTCACCTCTGACTTGTACCGCTTTGCAGGCTTATAACTCGGCCTGCAGTCAAGGTTTAGTCTGCAATTAGGCTCATTCGAAAGAACGAGACTTCCTCTACACGATGGTATGCAAATAAGTTCAGTTTGAGCAATCCCAGAGATATGGTGGATGGAGTGGAAGAGGGCAGCTTCAGTTGTAAGCTAAGCACTTTTCAGCTGAAGTTGAAGAGAGCTCCTTTCGCTACCAATTTCATTCTGGAAGTTCAAAACTGTCAATTCTCTTGTAATAGATCCATTTCGAAGCTCTAAGACTGTTCTCGTGTTCATAAGAGCCTTCACTCCAATCACCTTTAAGGCTGCACTTTTTCACCGCATCCGCCAAATCTCTGAAATTATTCAAACTCAAGTCATTTGCATATCATCTTGTCCAGGAAGTCTCGTTCTTTTGAATGAGCCTAATTGCAGACTAAAACATTGACTGCAGGCCGAGTTATAAGCCTGCAAAGCGGTACAAGTCAGAGGTGAGGTGCAGCTGGGGTCATGTGCAAGCAGTGCCAAGGGCCATTTTCAGCAAAGAAACTCATCAGCACACGTCCGATGCATAGAGGGTGGCAAAGAGCATCTGTTTTATCCAGACGGCTTTGTTGGGATGTCTTGAACAGGTTTTCGTGCGAAGAAATTTGGCTCAATAAAGGAATTCAGAAGTTATTTTTTTGAGAAAAGCAGAATAAAACTCAGGCTTGCGTTTTTTGGGGAAGCAACCATAACAAGTGTGTAGTTCTTGACGAGTCTGTATGGTAGTATGCTTACCCATTCAGATAACTTGTGTTTCCGCTTTAAAATAGGACTCAAAAGAAAATTTTTGCGTTCGAAGAATTATTGTCCGCGACATTGTGACGCGGCCATTTTCGGACTTTTTCAAGAAAAAGATTCTTAAAATTTTTAGAATACATGTTTCTCAAAAAGCTCAAAGTGTATATTATAGATCTTGAAAAGCTCTATCACCTCGTGCAATTATTACATTTTTTTCACCCTTGTTTTCCCTCTGGAAAAGAACGATGAAAAAGGAAGAGGGGTTTGTCCGCAACTTTTTGGCGGTCACTGTATGTACGTATGTTCCGAATAGAAATTTTTATTTCTGAACCGATCCGGACCAGACTTTGCACACATACATTTCGGGGCCGGGCGGGTGTCATAGGCTACTTTTCGTCATCGATCGATATCGATTTTATTGATTTTTCAAAAAGTTCGAGCTACGGGGCTGGGAGTTGGCACAGGGGGGTAAGTGAGCATGCTGATTACGAATATATTATTGACAGGGCCGTGCGGAGCCGGGTTTGCCAGCTAGTGCTTTTTAAGTTTTCGGCACAAAACTTCGCGTGGATTAAAGCTGGTGCAGAAATTTGAGCACTGCCTTGTAGAGGTAGGTTTGCTCTATCTAAAATACATCGAATCCTATTTGGGATATAGATTATTGGGGATTATTGCGGTCTGTACCTATTTTGGTGCAGGAATTATGCATAAACCCAATATATTAGGTCATTCCGAAAGTAATTTCGCTTTTTACAAACGGACGCCGCATGGGATGAAACAGAGATTTCTGAGATCTTGGCAGCATTCGATGCAGAATTTCATTCTCTTTCCAACGGTGATAAAATTACTGCAGCACAATCAATGAGCTTTTAAAAAATTACGAAAGTCTGCAAACCATCTTTTTGAGATGCTCAAGTTTCACAATTTTTCTAAATTTTTACATCAACCATCCGAAGGAGTCCAAGTAACGATTCAACAGAGCAAACCTTATAGGATATGGCGTAACTTTTTTCTCTTTTTATATCTCGCCTTAATTTCTAAAAAGATTTATTATCAAAACCATCGAATTTTACAGGCTTACGTCAGCCACATTCGCATCAGACACCAATAAATTTTCGGAATTCAAAACTTAAACTTCCAAAAAGGGGATTATGACTCAACACTAATTTTGCAAAGCGAATAAGAGTTTGTGGAGTCGAAATATCTATTTTCGCACTTTTTGGGTATAGCTCGGTGCGGCTTCGAAAACGTAAATTACGATGATTTTATTCCCAAAAATTCCACGAAGCGGAAACAAAAAACACCCTTCAGAAAGATGAGAAAATACTGCATCGAATGATACCCCTGCTTACCGTTTGATGTTCTACGATGTTTGAGTTGACCAAGAATGGAAATTGGTAGCATCAGTCAAAATTCTATTTAAAAATTTTGGAGATATGTGAAGGAAAAAACAATAATTTTGTATCCTGTTGGGTTTGCTCTATCGAATCTTTACTTCTGCTCCTTTGCAGGATTGATGTACAAATTTAGAAAAATTGTGAAACTTGAGCATCTCAAAAAGCATGGATCGAAGACTTTCGTAATTTTCCGAAAGCTCATTAATTATGCTGCAATACTTTTATGACCGTTGGAAAGAGAATGAAATTCTGCATCGAATGCTACCAAGATCTCTTGAATCTTTGTTCCATCACATGTGGCGTCTGTTTGAAAAAAATTACTTTCGAAATGATTTAATATTGGGAAATTCAAATGATTCGAAACCTCACGAATGAAGATATGAAAAGAATATCATGTCATATATGAGAGACTACTGGAGATCACTACGTAACATATAACAATTTCGTTTTTACCACTTGGCCACCCCTGATCCGTGGAACACGGCAAGCGGGGAGACAGCAGACTGAGAAATTATGATGAAATATACTAATCTTTGGCTTCAGGGCCAGTAGTAATCTACCCTACCTGCCAGCATGTCTTGCCGTCAGCTCGCCCTGATGTCGACTTGAGGTCGCCAGAATTTCAAACTCCTTACGTAGACCCTCAAGCCAGACAAATCACCTCTTTCTGCTGTGATAGTTTTTTCATCAAATTTGCGTGAGGATTGAAAGAAAATTCAAAAAATGTCTTCATTTGCAATTTATTTGGCCCGAAGTGTGAACCTGCCGGCAGGTTCACGACTTATTTTCGTCGAAATTTAAGATGCCCTCTCGCCCTCAGCCTGCCGGCATCTCGCCGGCAGGTCAGAGGGTGTAGGAAATGGTGTGTCTTTGGTGGAGTGCGACCTGCCGGCATCTCCTCGTGCCTGTACCACGTCGAGATGCCGGCAGGTTCATGACATTTCCATAATTTTCTGCTTGATTTTCGATAAATTTTTTTAATACTTTTTTTGTGGCCGAGGCATACTTATGGCCAAAAAAAGTCAGTAAATAGAAGAATTCGCTGGAAGGATAAGATTTTCTAGGATTTTGAGAGAAGCAACGGTTTTAGAAAATTTCATGCATCGCTAGGATCGTTGAGAGCTCCTCGTTTTTAATGCATGCTTCTGCAACTGCATGTTAATCTGTAGCGAGTTTTTCGAAGGTTCCTTCCATGTTTGTTGTTTTTCTGAACATAATCCAAACATAATTCTCGGTATAATGGTAGCGTTTCTCATCTTGTTCGGCTCTCAGTTCTGCTTTTCACGTAGCGCCCAAGCTCAAAGTTTCCTCTTCATTGTTTTGCCTTAATGTGCGCGCATCTACTATACTTTAAGACCAACATGCGTCTTGATGCTAATACGTTATGCCACAGATTAACTTCTCATATTATGTTCTGTGTTCTCGAACGTGCATTTGCTGTCTTACCCTCGTTAAACTGCACTTCGCAGACAGTAACTGATTCGCTTTCTCAAATCGAGCGCTGAAAATGAGCGTCCACTTTACTAATTATTTTAGAAATGTGACGAAATCGACTGACTGCAATTGTTGTGTAAATTCGGCAGCTTTGAAAGGTAGCGAAAGAGTCGGTAAGGATGTATGTTCTCCTCGTGAATACTGCAATTTAGTTTATCCACTGTGGCTTGAGGTAAAATTGGACGTCTTGCTGTAGTATGAGAATCACATGTGTTGGAGCGTCGGCAAAGTTAGTGCAAATTCCCAGGCTATGAGTAGTCAGGTATGTTTCACAAACTTTGAAAGTGTTTGTGTTAGGTTTATGGACTTTTCTTTGAAGTTCATTACAATCACTCCCGTCTTCTTACTCTCTGCTCTCCTTCGAGCAGTTTGGATAGCATATCCATTACAAATTTTCTAGCTAAGCTCCTGGTAAGTATTAGAGGCCATCATTCGGAAAGTTCACGGCGTTGCGTCGTTGGATGTGCGTGCCGCTTGCTGCCGATACGATTGTACACGAGTGTACGAGTATATGTCATGAGGCGCAATTTTTGTTATGAAATGGGCATAAAGTAGTATCTGGTGTTGTAGCATAATAATATTTGGAATTTTGGAGGAGTAACATTAGATTGCACAGGTTTTTAGGTGTCTTTTTGTAAAAATTTTTGTACGCTCTATGACGGATCCGTGCTCTTCTGGGTACTTTCATCGGAGAAACTTTGTGCATGAATCTCATTTTCTAAAACGCGCGTACACCTGCTCGGTAACGTTTGGATAAGTGATACAGAAGAGTTCACCCTGTCCTGGCACAATAACAGCCCCACAGGGATTGCGACACACCTTAACTCTTACGGCCATTCTATAACTAAGATTAAACGCTCACGCACTCATCTGAACCCCAGGTAGGGATGGTAACATCCAGGTCCGTAGTAAAGCTCGGTCAGGAGAGATGATCTCCCGTAAGAACCTTATGTGAGCTTCCTTCAGATGAAATGACGACCGCCCACTTCCCCATGCTATAAGAATGCAACGCCACCTGATATGTGAGCCTCAGGTCAGGTTCGGCAGGGAGATGATATCCCTGCTATCCCTGTCTCTAACAAGTGCGGCGAGATCTCCGCCGGTAGTACCAATCATAAAGATGTGAATGTTTAGCAAACGCGTTTCAACTTGTATACTTGCATGAAAGTTGCGTACTCAATCATATCAATGTGGATGGTTGGAATCATCGATCACTGGCTCAACTGAGGCAGAGCTGACTCGTCGAAGCTTCAACTAAAGCTTTCCTCAGTTGAAATCGAATGAGGCAGCTTTACTACGGGCCCTAGTCACTTAGCGGCACAGCTACTCGCAGTAGATGCAATTTGAGATCTACCGTTACATTGTTCCAGCATGCGTTAGCTTCTTTGTGCAAGCCAAACATGTTAGCGTTCTTCTTGCACTCATCACGCAAAGGCACCGTCCACCCTAAGTTGGGGGTGTTGAACTTTAAGCATACGATCGTGATTTCTATCAAGCCATGCCCAAATCGAGGTGCAAAGTGTCGCTTTGGAAGCGAGAAAATCGCTTCGGAATAGCGATGAGGCATGAGGACCCCAAGTAGGTACCGGGTACCTCTTGCAGTAATGCGCGCCCATCCATGCTCCATCCAATCACCGTTCCGGGGAACCGGCCCGCTAATTCTTTGAAACGGGGACAGCCGGTATTTTCGCGTCTCGAATTCATATTCGAAATTAGAGACATGAGATTACCCCGGAACAACCAAAAAAGGAAGTGGAGTATCTGGGTGGACGGTGCCTTTACAACATTATTCAACAAGGAAAACATTGCCGCAATCTTACCTGGGTAACGGGCTGGTCAAATATATTTGCATTCGCATACTCGACGCCAATTATCACATCCTTCCGTTCAACGCTTCCTGCTTCAACAAGCCTTATGTTTAGGTAGTTTTGCCTAACAGTTCTTCCTGGCGCACCTTTGTTGACCTATAGCGGAACATCTAGCATGCTCCAAAACCCGGCCGTTCTACTTTCCATCAGCAGGCGGCGCATTTCGGCTTTGACTCTCCGCCGCTCAAGAATCATATGCTTGACACCTTCCTTGAATAGCTTTCGCCATCTTAAACTTCAAATTTGAGGTGGACACTGCAAGATCATCAACTCGAGAAACTGGGCCAGAGATTCTGAACAGGCTTTATCTGCAATAAGCCACGACTTCAGCTCCGTGCACACCACTGACAACCCAGTTTTCACACTTTCACAATTGATCGTAATGCCTTTTCTCATCTGCTTGACTTCTCCCTCTGTGACTTTTTGACTACCACTGTGCGGTAGTGACCTTCATGATCATCAAAACGCTTGCGGTTTTGTATAACCACTTCCTTCTTTTAGCTACTTTTTCCGCCGCTAATTCCATCGGTCGAGGAGACGAGGGGCCTCCTCTTGTCTGTCAATCGTGGGGAGAGACAGACAAGGGGAATCTGCTTGTGCCTTGATCGATGTGCCATAGGCATCGGGCATACGCAGGTTCGAGCAAGAGGTGTGGCATGCAAGCGCCGAATACGACCCCTTCCCCTATCTTCTGTCTTAATACTCCCCCCTCTCCCCCCTCCCACCAGCATTATGTTTGCCTTCCGTGGGATGACGTAAAGGCTCTATCATGCATTATTAGGCACACATTCGTAATTATCATGTCAAAAACCGCCATGGTCCAAGTTTCTGCAACTTCTGAGTGTTCCCAGTATTGGACCACCCATGAACTATATATCATTCAAACGTGAAATCAAAAAGCTGAACTTGAATGATTTCTTTCCTTGCAGGTAGAGCTTCCCTTCATTGTTTTATGCTCACTTTGCCGCCACACGTGCTTTCCTGACTTCCCATCAACGCATGCGTCCGACAATCTTAGGCCCGTATGCACGTACATCCCCGCGGGGAGGGGATGTGCGCTTAACCATTGAAATGATCCCCGCTGGGGATCCCCTCCCCTCCCCGCGCGAACCCCCGTATGCACAAAGACAATATCGTACAAGGGATCCCCTGTGGGGAGGGGAAGTGAACCCTCTTATGCACAAGAGGGGATCAAGCGGGGAAATCACCTTGCTTCCAAATTTTCTATGAAAAACTCTTTCTCATTTCATATTTTGACTGCAACTCATCTTCATCTCCTCACTTCAATTAATTTAGGGTTGCGGAATGTGCGCATGCAGTGACTGCGCTCGGGGCGCTAAAAATGATTTTTTCTACTCCCATTATGTTCCTGCTTTCTTGGATGCTGCCCACTTTCGTTCATGCTGCTCCATTTCAGCGTCAAAATGTTGAACTATAGAAGTTGATGTGTCTCTGCAAGGGAATGGGTAGAAGACGTTATGCTGCCGAAAAAGGGGGGGGGGTGCCGCGCGGACGCTCAAAGCAGTATTCTAACACATAACAGAAGCTGCAAATTGTGCCAGCTCTCCATAAACGCTGTAACTATCAGCTGCATATCGTCGTTTATCCCAGGGGAATGATCCCCAGCAGCCATCCCTGCTATGCACAAGGGGAACGCTGGGGAGGGGATCACTCCCCAGGGGATTTCTACTCAGAAATAGGCAAATATGCTACTTTCTAGATTTTTTCGAGGCAGCTTATGTTAAAAAAACAAGATAATGGCAACATGTCATGAAATATGAAAGTTACAGTGTGTTTATTCAGTCTATATAGTTAAAACTATTATGTTATATGAAAATTGCGCAAATTTCCTGAATGATCAAGAACTCCTACAAATAATCGAAATTGGCAGCTATTGTTGCTCGGATTTCTTCTCAAGAGGCGAATATAGAAAAGAAAGACAAATTGCAAACCACAGGTCGCTGAGAGAAGAACCCGGCTTTCAAAGAAAATCCTCCATCAAAATGAACGAAATGCTTGGTAATGACTGAGCAGAATCAGAATATCCGCGTCTCTGGCATGATCTACACCATCGAACCCCTACTTCGTTGCAGGGGATGTCGATCCCCTCCCCCGCGTTATTGAGTTGAATTCGCGCATACGGGGTTCGAGTGGGGGAAGGGAAGGGATCCCCTCCCCCATTCGAACCCCTATGCACTGGGGTTCGCTCGATCAATACCTCTGAAATCATTCACACCATCCCCGCTTAGGTGCAGGGGAGGGGATCGCTCCCCTCCCCTCTGTCATGGCGGGGTTCGGCGGAGGGGATCGTTCCCCTGGGGATCCAGCTCCCCTCCCCTCCCCAGCGGGGACGTACGTGCATACGGGCCTTAGTTTATATCTACTTTGCTAGATTTGTTCTTCTACTAACCCAGATTTTTACCGCATAGTTTTGAGCCCAGCCTACCTACTACTACCACACACTAGTTTGGTACAGCTTACCAACATAGACTGATGCTTGTCTGATTTGCAATATATTTCAAATTTCCTTGGAGCTTTGTACCCTCTCCGGCAAACTGTGTTGGGCGGGGCTGCCAGTATACCCGCCAGCCGAACTTCCGGTTTGCTATTATGAAATCAAAATAAGATCGTTCCTTGCTGGCAAACGAGGGGGCATGGGTACTTCTCCAGAGTGTTTCCCCATAGAGTTCACGCAAGTACAAGCATTTCTATCTATACGCGTTTACGCAAGCTGCTTCTACACAATCTTTTCTCTCATAAGCTTAGTCTGGGCTTGAAAGATGTGGTGAAATGTTTATTATTGTTGTGTTTCATGTATTATTAACACATTTTTGTCAATGTTTTGGAACGCCTAGAGCGTATCTAATGAAATGAAATGAAATGAACTAATCATTTTCAAACATAATTAATTGTATTTTATAAGTGAATTAGCTGATTGTTTTTGTACCCGCAATCAGCACAAAGCACTACCCCTATTTACCGATATCACTCCAAAGCATTCAAATCTCCGTCTTTTTTGTACGGTTACTACCTGCTAAACCTTCTTCTCCACATAACAGGAATTGCATTCATTGTTCCTCCTAGGGAAAGATAGTAGTAGTTAGTAGTAGTTTAGTAGTAGTTTTTCCTTAGCTAAGCAAATGGAAAACACTGCGAAAATATTGCATTACGGTAATGTGCTAAGTCTGCGCTACTACGTGAATCGCGAGTGCATCACAAGGAGAAGCTTTGTAGAAAAATAAAGCCAAAATGAGAGAAATCTGGAAGAAAAACCGTTGAAAAGGGTCGAAATCTCCGACTCCCGCCATTCAAAACGCGTGCGGGGCGGTTGCAGCGCATGCAGCACAGTTCCGGAACAGTTCCAGCACAGTGCGGGAACTGTGCGGGAACATTTCTGGAACATGAGAATCAGTATGAACCCAGCCTTAGAGAACGCAGAAAGACTGTCGCTTTCGCGGGGGAATCGTGCCGATAAAGCGAGTACGCCCTTTAACAAAACGACTTTCTTGTAGAAAAATTGTAGACAGCTTGTTGTTTGTTGTTCGGGCGACAAAACGTCATACTGTCGCACCGGTAAATGGTTCGACAACCCTATTTTACAGAATTTGCATAAATACAGAGAAGTGGTTTGACTGCACATAAAAAGCAGAAACAATGTGCTCTACTTGTGAAGCAATAATTAAAAGTAAAGAAGCTGCAGGTTTGAGTTATTCTAAAGGTAAGTATCAACTTGTGGATTGCAAGTCCAGTTAGAGTTTGACTCAAGTTACTCTTTGCATATTACGTCACTTTTGATCACAATTTCTTCGATTTTTTTTTTAGATAGAGTGTCTCGACCAACTACTTGATCTACTATTTTTGTGTTGAATAGCGTATGTTTTGACCTCACAATTGAAATTATCTTTGGTAGCATAAATTTTGGTGCGTCCACAACATTGTGACTCCAATCCTCCTGCCTTTTGCACCTTCATTCCTCTTCGTGTTTCACATTTTGAATCTACACTAATCAAGAAGCGCAGCTTTTTGATGATAAGAAACCGCTTCTGTGCATGGAGTATGACGATTCGGGGAAGTCTTCCCTGAGTGATCCCTATTGGTGCAGAAATCCTGGCTCACGATCGCACGGCAGCTAAAATCAGAGCTTCAGTATGTGAGGAAAAAAAGCACTTTTAAAATTGTTTCAAACGATCATAGCAGGCACTCGTGTAAATACCGTTCATTTTACACAAAAGAGACAAAACATACCCTCGACGTCAATCCCTAAGTTACATTTGCGAAGTGGAGTGGTGTGGTGCAGCCGCCTCGCTTTGCGCTCGCGCCACGTTGATGGGGCATCGTCTAGACGTGATGTGGCGCTAAAAACAACGTGGCACCACAACATGTTCAAACGTGGCAACAAGAACAACGTTTCTTCGTTGCTCCTGTTGCCACGCCATGCCAACTCATGCGCTCGCAAGGTGGCGCGAGCCCAAAGCGAGGCGGCCGCACCACAACACTCCACTTTGCAAATGTAACTTAGGGATTGACGTCGAGGGTACGCTTTGAACCTATCCAATTATCTTGAGCAAGCATCAATAGCGCGCAAAAATTCCAGTAAATTTGAAAACGCAAGCCAATGTAAAGACAGCAAAAAAGTTTCAAAATTTTTCGACTGTTGAATTTTAAGGATTGGAAAAGTGCCCCACAGAAGCTTTATTTAAAAGATGTTTTAAGAAACCACACGAATAAACAGATATCCATTATCTGTAATGACCGTGAACTCGTATTAGCATGATGTAGAAAAGCAGATCAGGGCAGATTCGAAGAAAACAACATGAAATTAGTTTCAAAATGAAAGAGCACATCGGAAAAAGCAACGCGAGAACGATCGAAATGGTAGAGATGAGAGGGAAGACAGAGAAAAATGACACCTTTGAGCCCAAAACCTCAGAAATGACGATATCTGAAAAAAAATGTTGAAACGTGCGATCGAGTTATATAGCCTTTTCGCCAACAAAACGCAATTATGGCTCTGTAGTATCTGCAATCATAAGGTGGGTAAAAATAAGTGAGGATGCAAACGCTAAGATAATTCTTCCTACCTTATCAGTGCGCTTGTAATGACCACCACTGCCGAATTTGCATCAAACTCTCTTCACTTAGAGGTTTAAGACCATATTCTTGAACACGCTGCAACTGAGGGTGCCTTCATACGGCACCGGCAGCCCGTAGCAGCCCATAGCAGCCCATAGCACCACAGCAGCTGCTAGCAGCCCGTAGCAGCCCATAGCAGCCGCCAGCAGCCCCTAGCCGCCGCTGGCCGCTCTTGTCATAGAAGCGCAAAATTATCAAATTCTTATTATTTCAAGTGCAAACGCCCACGCTTTCCATCTTCCTCGCTTTTTCCCTTCCTGCTGTCGCAATTCGACCTCATATACCATACTTGTAACCATTGCTGTTGAAATCTTGTTGCCGTAGATTGTTATCCTATTGGTGCTCAGTTTCCTTTTCGCGGTTGAACCACATTTCGTCAAAGTTTCTTCGCGGTGTAATTTCTCCTGATGGATTTTAGTTTCTGCAGGTATGCATTGGTTTATGTTTTTTAAGTATGGTTCTGCTTCAATCATATCCTTGGCCGGTGCTTATCTTGAATAACTCTGTAATGATGAGTGTGGAACTGTACATTAGCGGCAATAGGAAGAAAAAAGCGTGGAAGATGGAAGATGGAAGGCGTGGGCGGGCGCACTCAAAGTAGTAAGAATTTGGTAATTTTGCGCTTCTATGACGAAAGTGGCCAGCGGCTGCTACGGGCTGCTAGCGGCACTGTCGGCGCGTTATGGACATCCTGAAGATGAGCGAAGGTGTCAATTAAGGCTGTCCGAGTTTCTTAGAGTCCAAGATATTGTAAGACAACGAAAGGGACATATTCGAAAGCCTATAAGTGGAAGAAATGCTTACGTGAAAATTGCTTACAAAAGAAACAGAAACAACAGAACGCACTGCTCCAGTGAAGATACAAAAAGGCGACAGAGCGAAAAAGGTGAAGGTTAAGAAATTTGAAGGTACACTAGCAGGAAAGGCTTGAAGAAAGAAAAGTAGTTTCGCAGCGAAAAGCCCTATAGCCGCACATATCTTACAACCAACTGCTCTCTGCTGCTACGCGGCAGGTTCGGCTGGTACACGGCAGCTTTGCTGCCTCGTAATTCATTTTACTCTAAAGTCCAAAAATAAAGTTTACAGGAAATTTGCCAATTTGCACGAATTACTTCGATTTAACCTACGCAGCAAGAAAAACTGAGGATATAATATCAGCTTTGATTTATTTCGGCTCCACATTCCAAAACAATGGATATTACGGAAACTGCAGAAAAATTAGGCGATAGGGTCAAACAGCACGTTTTAAACAATAGATTATTAACACACGTCCTGCCTCATACATTAAATTCAGATTCTGGCACTATGTCTTTTTATGACTTCTTTATTCTTTGTGGGCATAGAAAAAGAAAAAACATAGAAAATTTTTGAGGCAAAAACTACGAAAAGTCAATAAATCGATAGGAGCAGCCAGCATGTCCCGATTTATTAACACACGCTCCACCTCATTCATTATGCTTGCCAAATTTGATTGAGATTCAACGCCTTCTATCCTTCTTGAGGGAGGAGTCAAGAAAGTGGCTAATTAAAACAAATAATTACTGATTCCGGAGCAATCCGTGTGTTCCGAACGAAATGAATTATTAACACTCGCAACATATCGCACGTAAACGGATCCACGACTGTGCGGTCTACCAGAGAACGACCACCAAGTAGAATCCATCCAGCTACGCCTCCTACGCATCGCACTACACCATAAGAAAAATCAAATGTACACTTTGCACAAATGTGTCAAAGGAGAGCAGTTGTTCACGTCTTTTGGAAGGTCTTCTGGAGAAGAATAGTGGGTGGTCAATTACGATTTGTAATCAAATTTGATCTACAAAGCAGCACTGCAGAGAAAGTTCGATAGCCTTATGGTTAGATCACAGAGCAACGCTGCCAATCGACTAAACGCGAGGACACCTTTTGATAACAGTGAGCGCACACGCTATGATTTCGGATCACTCCACAAAAACGACGCGAGTCACAGTGATTGGAGGGTTTTCCTCTTTCGCCGAGCGCGCGTTCCGCACTAGAGTTGGGCCCGAGCTTTTCACCATCTCAGCCCACCTCTACGATGATTCTGCGCAGATTCGCTTGCAATCTGGCACGAACTCCAAGATAAACTCCTCAAAAAGGTGAACCTAGAGGGTGGGGGCGGAGATCAAAGAACATCTCACACGTGTCCAGCGATGCCTTTCCCACGTGCGTTCTTTAGACAGCAAAGCGCGAATCCTATGGTCGATACCCGTTTCCGGCTCTTTGCAGACGACTTTTTCAGGAACAATAACGCGGTTTCGCCAACAGAAAATGCACTCAAACCTTACCCTC